CGATCCCCCGACCCACCCGCGCGCCGCCCCTAACCCAGCGCGCCGCCGCCGCCCGGAAACGCCAGTCGCTGTCGCCGCCGCGCCCCCGCCCCCATCCCCGGTAACCCCAGGGCCCGCCGCCCCCGCCGCGGGGCCTGGATCCACACGCAGACGCCAGGCCTGGATCCCACATGCTGTCTCCCACCAGCGCGGCCTTCGGCCACCTTCTACGGCCGCCACGCCTCCCCAGGACCTCCACCCGCCGCCGCCGCGGGTCCCCATCGCCTCCGCTCGCCGCCGCCGCCACTGATCCCCGTCGCCTCCGCTCGTCGTCACCGCGGCTCCCCAAGACCACCACCCGAGCAACCGCTGCGGTCCCGGATCTCGCGTGTCGTCCCGAGCCATGGATCCCGTGCGCCGCCTCCGAGCCGTGGATCCCGCTCAGTTCAACTTCGCCGAAGCCACCAGTCCGATGGGTAGTGCATGGGAGGTGGTGCTGATCCGGCTAGGTACTACGTCCACGAGCACGGCGCGTGGATGGCTGCCTCCTCCTCCTGTTCCCTCCAACCCCGAGCGCGGCGTCTCCACGCTCCATTCGCCGGCGACCACCAGCCCACGTGCAGATTGGGCACTACCTGCAGGTGGACGAGATGTCGACCTGCAGCAGCAAGGGGCCTCGACCTGCAGCTGGCCAAGGGCGATTCACCACTTACAGTCGGCACTGCACACCCTGGCCGTTCAACCTCGCTGTATATCAGGTCGTTCAACTCCGCCCCTGCTCCTCGTGGATGACCTTCAGTCAAGAATGAACACAAAATATCAACCAATTCGTTACAGTATAGTTTTCCTGATTAGCTTCACATGAACGCGTCACATGCAGCCTAGTGAGTAGCTTCCACTGATCCTGTAAGCAGCAAATCATCTTAGTTAAAGGCGATGAATGTGCTCCCTGATTGTGCTATAGTGTACAAAGAGTAGATGACAAGAAAGGTAGATTGCCATGGAAATGGTGCAGGATGTTGGCTAGGTCAGGAGCACAAGCAATGTGAGACTGAGACCAAATTAGTCTGGGCCTCAAAACTTTCATCACAATTTGACAGCAAACTTTTATCCGTGTGGTGTTTTCTGGTGCAGCCATGAGTGTAGCGTAGCCCAGTGTCTTGTGGAGAAGAAAGCTGATTTGTTTCTTATGTTGGCAGGCGAAGCAGGTGCAGAAGTGCGTGGAGGCACTGGACGTGCTCAAGGTGTCGAACGCGCGGCTGCAGACGGTGGTGGTGACTACCAAGTGGGAGACGTTCGACAACAGCCCCCCGGTCACCACCAAGTTGTAGATCTTCGACTGAATTAAGCAGCAGCAACAGTAGAGATTTTTCTTTATAAAGAGTGTCTATTTTCGTGCCGTCAGTTTTGGTGTCTTGTTCCTTGCCCATTATTCGATTTTGTAATCGCGGTGAGCTGGTTTAGGTTAGTAGGTCGCAGGAGGACCCCGAATCCCACCGTTTGTTTCGTCCGTTTGTAATCATCGTCGTCGTCGTCACACCCGCTCGATTGATGGATCTCACTTCAATAAACAGCAAAGCAGCACTGTTCTTTAGTGTGCTCCCGAAAGTGCATTGTGTACTGATGGTGTGGAGATTTGTGCGGGAAGTAATGGTTGATGGGTTTCACTCACATATAAGCTAGCATATGGGATTATGTTACGCTCTTCGGAGCTACTAGCACCGTACTAGTGGCGTGGCAGTGTCGACGCGTAAACTGTTTGTGAGAACTTTATGATCCACATTCGCTTCAAAAAATTCACTCTGGTTTTTGAACTCTACGTAAGAACTTTATGCTCTTTCAAATGTGTGCATTTGTATTTGTGTAAACTGCATGTAGCACACGAAGTGTATGTGTGTAATTTTCTTGAATTATAATAGCATGTGAAGTTCATGTTTCAGAAATTCATAAGTTCACGTGTACCACATACTGAAGAAGTTGATCAATGAAAAAAAATGACTGCCTATGCCATTCCACCGATAGCAAAAAATGTCGTGATAAAAAAAATAAAACTGCATAAGATATAACATAGTAAGTTCATAGAAGTGGTGGAAAAGCATAATTTTATTTTGTAAGTTTAACCATTTCTAAAAAATACCTTGAAGTTCAAATTTAAATAATAGGACGGTTTCAATGTTTATTACAAACCTGTAATTTTCCCCGTTACTATAGAATAAACAAAGAACTTCAAAAACTAAAAATGGAGCAGTTCGAAAAGTTTATAAAAAATGGTGTTTCTACATTTTACTAAAAGAATTGGAGAAGTTCACGTTTAAAAAACATAGAAGTTCAAAATGCTTATAAAAAACCAAGAAGGTCAAATTAAGAAAACCGAGCAGTTTAAAAAGTTTGTAACATGGATCTGCCACTGTTTTTTTAAGATCTAGAAGTTCAACTTTAAATATTTGAGCAGGTCAATATTTATTACATAACTAGGACTTTTCCTGTTACTAATGAATAACACCAAGAAATCCAAAATTAAAAAAAATATGAAGTTGTTTAATGTTTACAAAAACTCAGATTTTCTCCAATGCTAAAGATTAAAACCAATAAAAACAGTAGAGCGATTCAATGTCTATAAAAAACGCAGATATTTTCACGTAACCAAAGAGAAGTTCAGATTGATAACTACGAGAAGGTCACGTACTACACGGTGTGCATTTGGTATTAAAAAGAAGAATGAAAAAGCAAAAGGCTGAAAGTTTTGTTGCTAGAAGTTCAAGTGCTCAGCCCGAGAAAATTTAAAAATTCGTGTGAGAGAGATTGAACAATAATACGTGGCAGAAGTTCAAGGTGAAAACAGCGGGAAGTTCAACTAGTACAGGAAATGCGTTTTAGATAGGAATATAAGAATAGAAAATAAAAAGCTTAGAAACTTTGTTGCAAGAAGTTCACGTGCTCCTCTTGGTGAAGTTCAAGATATCTAGTGCGAGACGTCCAACCTTCAATTACATGTAAAAAACAGGCAAAAAACGACGTTGTTTTTTCCATTTTTAAAACCACTCTCAAAGGATAAAAAATTGTAACATTTGTCTATATGAAAAATATGCTCCTATTCATAAGCTTTCCAGCGGTATATTATATGTTACATTCATATGTACAGTTTAAAAGTTTCATGTATACCAATTAAAACACGTTTTTGTGTAATGAAAAAAATTATTTTGAACCGTCACAAGTATGAAAAAATGATAAACGCGGGAAAGTTGCGTGTTTTCAACAGCTTTTCATTGATGTATTATTTGCTCAATTCTGGTAAGTGGTTGGGGAGTTACGGGTAAAAAATAACACATGAAAAATAGAGTGAAGTTCAAAAAGAACTGATCCAGAAGTTCAATCTCTTCACGAAGTGCTTTTTCAGAGACTCTATTATTTCGATGAAGGCAGAACGCGTGATCTCAAAAGTTCAGATTGATAACTGCCAGAAGTTCACGTAGTACATCATGTGCATTTTGTATTAAAAAAGAATGAAAATGCAAAGCCTAAAGTTTTCTTGCTAGAAGTTCAAGTGCTCGGCCGGAGAAAGTTCAAAAATTCTTGTGATAGAGGTGAAAACAACACAGAAGTTCAACTACTGCAAACGAAAATACGTCACAGAAGTTCAACGTGAAAACAACAGGAAGTTCACCTACTACACTGAATGAATTTCAGATGAAAAACTTTCAAAATTGTCGTGAGTATGAAAAAATGATCAACACGGGAAAGTTGCGTGTTTACAGCAGCTTTCCATCGGTATATCACCCGCTCAATTCCCGTGAGTGGGATGGAGAGCTACGAGCAGTGGATGAAGATCTACGAGCAAAAAAATCACGTGAAAACAGAGTGAAGTTCAGGTACATGCACCGAGAAGTTTAGGTTCTTCACGCGGTGCATTTTCGAAGAATCTGTTTCGCGATAGAGGCAGAACAAATGATCCCGCCG